GCCCCGTTTCGGACCAAACGGTGGAATCACTCATATACATATTGGAAAGTTATTACTGGTGTTTTAATTCTACACTCCTCAAAAAAGAATAACCCAGCAACATACGAGTATAAAAAACAAGTCTCCTAGAGCCACAACTACTGAGAAACATTGAACTAAAAAAATGGATTTTTATCTAAGCAAATACTATGTCCAGCACGCCAAAGTCGTCTATGTTTGACCGCTAGTGTTGTAATGCGTTAGGCATAGATTTATTGAAAACTATTCAAAATTAAACGCAAACATGCTATTTTTTTAAATTATTATTGATATTTGAATAAAACAAAAGGTAAGAAATATAAAACCATCATCAGCTACATAAATAAAAGAAAATTTCATCAAATCAACTTCGCATAATAAATCTAATATCTCTACGCATCCTTAGCGCGTCATCGATTATCAGTTCATTGGGCGCCGTGGTCAAGGATAGACGACACCCTGATGACGTCATAAACGAATAGCGGAAAAGAAGTGCAGTGCAACATGAACGATGCCTCAGAACTCATTCGCATTTTGGAAATCGTCGATAATGATGTTTTTTTTTATTTTAATAATATAAAATACAAATAATAAATGTTTATTATTTTCTTAAGGTATGAAGAGTAATTTTACATTTTGTGTTGTGCGATTTTTTTCTCAATCTAGGGTATTGAATGAAATCTCTATTATATTTGCTGAGACATCTCCATTCTTATTCCGCATACAAAAGACCAGAATTTAAATAATAAATTGAATCAAGTATTGAACCAGGTTACAAATTGGCTGACACATCAAAACCTAGATATTAATTTTAATAAAACCAAAATTATGCAATTCCGACCAGTTCAAAAATCACCACTATATATATATATATAATATACTTATAGGAACTGTTGAAAACTTCAACTTGTTAGGCCTGGAAATCGACCGCCATATAAACTGGAAAGCCTATATAAATAAAGTAAAAAATAGGCTATCAAAATTCACTTATGTATTACGAGAAATAAAGCAAACCACAGATGTCCCCAGCGCTCTGTCAGCATATTACGTATACACATCTTCGTGGCTGTCATACGGTGTCATGTTGTGGGGAAATAGTAAAGATGGACAGCAATTATTTATAATGCAAAAAAAATTATAAGAATCTCGGCAAACATAAAAATTCCAGAAAGTTGTAAGCCCTACTTCAAAAACTTTAAAATTTTTACTTTGACGTCTATTTATATTTGGGAAACATGCAAATTTGTGAAAAAAAAACCCACCCAGAATTATTTACCAAATTAAGTGAAACAAATTACAAATGCTCAATTAGACCAAATAAAAATAGGCTACTATTGCCGAAATCTACTCTTGCTTTGCATAGCTCTAGTCCCTACTGTATGGCAGTTAAATTTTTAATAACCTTTCAAATGACATAAAAATATTAACGAGTACTACATTATTTTTATCCAAATTAAAGTTACATTTAATTGAAAAATGTTTATATAATTGAAATGAATATTTTGATACAAATATTATTTAATTTGTGTGGACAACTTCGACCTGTGCCTATATAATTAAATTTTTTTATTCAATTATTATTTTTTTACTTAATTTTATTTATAATAATAACTATTATTTTTTACTTGACATTGTGATTATTAAATTTACAGAATTTTAAAATAATATAATTTATTAATGTAATTTATTAATGAAATCTAATATTGTAGTTTAAAAATAATATTTAATATTTTTATAATTGCTACGCCCAAACTGGGTTCAAATGCGGACTATTTTTTTAAAACATTTATTGTTACCATTTGATTGCAATAAAGAATATGATTATTTCAAAATCATCTGGTAGCATCAGCATCATATCAAACCCCCATTGTCATAAGAGCGTAAGACTTTTCTTCTGTGCTTCACTTGGCCTACGCCTCCCCGACACATAAAATATTTTGAGTCGATCTCTGTATATTTTGGTTAGATCGATTTCGAAATCGATACACAACGTTCGACACGGCTACATCTCTAAGAAAGTTTCAAAAAGGAAGGTCAGCTACGCCGTTGTCGTCCCGTCGTGACATTGACGTCATCACGATGAAGAGTAGTGTTGTGGTTTACTACTATTCTATTGTTTGTTTTTATTTATGTACAAAGTACATATATAAAAAGAGTGGAAGATAGCACAAGATTAAATAAAACATACCAGATTATAAAGAGTCATTTATTGCGTAAAAAACAAAAAACAAGTTATTTTGTGTTATCGATATATCAACTCTTGGCAACACTAATTTTTTCGTAGGTATTTTTGTTTACTTTTCACTTTGGCGTATAGGACACGGTAGTGCATTTTTGGCGTGGCGCTCAAAAGGTTAATAATTACATTTACCTTACCTACTATTTACCTTAGAGGGCCAATATAATTGATTGCAGGCAATTTTAATGCATTTCATCTTAGTCATTTGAAGTGATAAAGTATCTAAGCGTAGCCTGCTTTTTTGTGTGACTTATAATCAGGCGGTATGTGATTTCGTATGTTACTTCAGATTTTGCTAGTTCATTGCTTAACACAATATTATTTTTTGACGGGTGCTTTTGGTGCTCTACCACGTTACATCTATGCTATATATGTATACACAGCTGCAGCACTAATAGTTTGGTTAATCGGGGTAGGACCACGCTCTTACAGAATACTAGCGTAAAATAGCGGCTTAATGCTGATGTTTGGTATGGTGAGTGTATAGAACCAGAGACCATTTTAACTGATAACGAGGCACTCCATCTAAGTACTCAGGGGTGACAACGCACCTGAATCTTGATACTTAATCGTTGTTACAACATGTAGATTTCTAAAGGTGATTGCATTCACTTACCATCAGGTGAAGGTGTGGTCGTTTATCACCCATGCTATAAAAACGTAGCCTTCCTACTGCTGCACGTACTGTGATCGTCACGCTTCACGGATTGACGACCGTAGTACCAGCTTCCATTTCCTACCAAACACTTTTAAGGTGAGTAGGTGAGAATTGGGGCTTCTGCGTCACTTGTTCTCGCTTTGCTCGAGTTACATGCCGCTGAAAGCCCCAATTCTCTACAGTAGAGGTCTAAATTTTTAGTCTAATTCTCGATCCGCTTTTTTATCTTTGCTCCATTTCTAATACTATTTCATTCGGAATCTCAAATACAAATAGTTCAATAATATAAACAACAAAATATGAAGGCTAACCTATCTCATCGTTAAAAACCAAGGTGGTACAAAAAACTTGTGGTTACTTTAATAATAAGTACCAATCGTTAGCGGTCTGAAACTTTTTTTTCTACTTCTCGAACACAAAGGTAATCATTTTGTTTTCAAACACCAAAATTCATCCGTTTTTTCCAGGTGTAGAGGAATTCGCGTTGTTAGCGGTTTCCTTAGTTTGTTAATTTTGCACAGTCAGGTGTTCGTTTATAAATATTGTTACGAGCTTAGGGTTCGTGATAATAAAAATTGCCGATTGAATTACCAAAATTAACACTTTAATTCACTTTACACTAATTAAACTTAAAACACTAATAATTAATCACACTGATTCACTTTGTTTCGCTCCGAAGCTTCGCTTGTCTCGCCAAATTCAATACTGCACCGATCGCGTATTGCAGCGCCTATAAACACACATTTTCACCGAAACATCCAGAATATTCAAGTAAATACGCGCGCCAACCGACCAGGCGCCGAAAGTTAGAGTGTAGGGCTTCTAGAAAGTTTAGTTCTTCAATTCTATACTAGATGGCGCTGTCGATTGAAAGATTAGTCATGTCATTTTCTGGAAAGCTCTCCTCGCTCTGTTACCCGACACTAGATGGCGCTAGTGCCAGACGTCAAATTAGGCGCGCAACAATATGTATATAAATAGGTCTGCAAGCGCCTTTTAGGTTAATATCAGTTGCGGTAACGCGGCGCTTGCGCGATGCGGATATCAGATTGTCTTTCAGCAATCTTGACCTTAACTTTGCCACTATAACTCTGGCTCTGCCTTGGATTTTTGTTTTTGGTGTTACTCTGTTTGCATGAATAATATCGTTATGCTCCAACGGGACTCCAAATTGGTTCCCCAAGGCTATGATTATATTCGTTAGGTTCTCGCATTTATCCTCAGGGAGACCAACTATTTCTAAATTCACAAGACGCTCCATTGTTTTTTGTAGTTGATTTCTGTTCTAAGCACAGTTTTCTGCTGCAGTTTTCAGTTCAATAATTTCACGGCGCATTTCCTCAACATTTTTGTTTGTGTACTGTATACTTTTTTTATAGTGTCACGCTCATCCGATGTAAATTGTGTCGATTCCTTAAGAGATATCATCTCCTTTTCCAGAATAGCTTGTTTTTTATGTAAATCTTGAATATTTGTGTTTATCTTGCGGTAATCCTCTTGAATTACTATACTAATAAACTACAGGCAGCCCTCCTAGGAAGCAGACTGGCTCATTCAGCTGAAGAAGAATTGGACCTAAAAATAACAAAGAAAACATTTTGGACAGACTCCAGCATCGTACTTTCCTGGATAAAAACAGACCCGAGAACCTTCAAAACGTTCGTGGCTCATCGCTTAGCGGAGATAGAGGACCTCACCAAACCGCAAGACTGGAGATGGGTGCCTACAGCGCAGAATCCTGCAGATGACGCAACACGCGACGTGCCAGAACACTTCAACTGCACTCACCGATGGCCTGCACCAAGAACTTTCAAGAAAACAACCACCGGCGAAGAAAGGGCAGCAGACGTCGCAGCAACAACACAAACATTTCATCCATCACCAGACCCGGAGAGATTCTCTTCATGGAAGAGGCTTTGGCGAGCCACAGCGAGAATACTGCAGTTCTTACAACTCTGCAGAAAAGTGGAGAAGGTCAACGTCTGCAAAAATGATCCCACCTGGAAAATGACACAAAGAAAAGGAACAAAGACTGTAGAGAAGCAACACAGATCTTCAAAAATAACAGAAAGGAAATATATACCGATGGACACCGAACTACTCGAGAAAGCTGAAACTCTTTTGCTGAAAAGAAGCCAAGACAACAGTTTCAGAGAAGACATCAAACGCCTTCAGCAAGGGAAGCAATTAGAGGGCAGCAGTAAATTGAAAAGGCTCGACGTAGTATTAGAAGAGGGTCTCCTGCGACTAAAGGGAAGAATCGACGCGATACAGGGTGTGACTAGGGACTACAAACGACCCATCGTGATCGACAGCAAAGACAAGACAACACAACTCATCATAGAAGAATTCCACTGCCGCTTCAATCATGGAAATCACGCGACGGTCATGAATGAAATACGACAACGCTTCTGGATACTCGGTCTAAGGTCAGCAATCAAGACGGTTCAGCATTAATGTCAATGGTGCAAAACGAGAAATGCAAGACCTCAAGAAATACCAACAGGCAACTTACCGGCAGAAAGGCTGATGCACGGATATCATCCCTTTACGTGCACGGGCGTGGACTACTTCGGACCGATGACAATCACCGTGGCAAGACGGCACGAAAAGAGATGGGGGGCTCTATTTACATGCCTCACAACAAGGGCTGTGCACATTGAGCTAACTCCTTCGCTCTCCACCGACAGCATGATCATGGCGCTGCGACGATTCGCCGCAAGAAGGGGGGGCCTAAGAAAATCTACAGCGACAACGGGACTAATTTCGTCGGCGCCAACAAACAAATAAAAGAAGCGCTCGAAGACCTCACCTCAGAAGCAAAGAAGATCGGCGTGCAATGGAAATTCATCCCTCCAGGTGCGCCAAATATGGGTGGCGTATGGGAACGTTTGGTGCGATCAGTCAAAACCGCACTAGACGCCACACTTCACGAACGGTATCCACGAGAGGAGGTACTCCACACTCTCCTCCTAGAGGCCGAGCACATAGTCAATTCTCGACCTCTCACACACCTCTCTGAGAACCTTGAAGAAGAAGTACTAACACCGAACCACTTCCTCATCGGGTGGTCCTGTGGCGCAGCGAGAGTCGGCAGCTTCAACGACAACGAACTCGTGGGCAGATCCACATGGAAGGCCACGCAGCGGCTTGCTGATCACTTCTGGCAACGTTGGCTGCGAGAATATCTACCCACTCTCTTGCCAAAGAAGATGAAGGCAAGAACCAGCATCAGAGACCTGCAAGTTGCGGACATCGTGCTGATCGTCGACCACAACCTACCAAGGTGCACCTGGCCACGCGGCAGAATCTTCCAAGTGTATCCTGGACCTGATGGGCGAACAAGGATCGTCGACGTCGAGACGCGCGGAGGTGTGCTGAGAAGAACCAGTTCGAGAGTAGTGCTGCTGGTGCCGGGAGTATCGCCGAGCCATGAGGATGGTGCGACGCACGAGAGGGAGAATGTCGGCGACAAGCATACAATCAACCAGTGACGAACTGGGTTATAGCCTCTTGAATACCACCGTACTTCATGTAGTACATAGAAATTTTAAAATTCAACCAAAAATGTTTGAAATGGCAACCCTTTTTTGATGTTGCAATGCCATCTGTTAGTTCTTTTTGAGTAACTTTCGTCCATATTGCACTCCGTCACATCTGTCATTTCATTAAAAATGGCGTCCAAAGCAAGCGAAGTAGGAGCGCGCTCGCACAGACGTAAGTTTATCCATGTTAATCTCTAATGTATGTTTGATATTATGCACTATTTTTGTATATTTTACCTAAAATAAGATTATTTGTTTGATTTGTACCTACATTTATGGGAAACTTGCAAAATTCAGTACACTATAACCTCAAACATTTTTATGTCTTCTGCAAAGTACGAGGGTCGCAAATCAAAGTTTTGCATTACTAACTACCCACGTACTGTACAAAGTACATTGCAAAACTTTTGGGATTATTTATGAGTTTTCACTTTTATTTCAGCCATGAATGATGAAAATATCGCTGACGCACTAAATGAATCTAAATTCGACTATTCGGGCGATGATTCAGATTGTGATTTGACCTTCAAACCTCCGGAACTCGACTGTCATGTTGTTGCAATTGGTGCTAATGATTCCGATACGGACATTACAGACTCGGATGATTCAGATAATGCTACTGAATCAGATTACCCTGCACCTTCACCTACGTTATCAAAGTAGACGACCAAGCAGAGGTCGTTCACTTACAAATCCTCGTGTAATCACACTTCGCGGAAACTCTGGAAATGACAGTGAGTCACTAGATAAATGGTCAGGAGATGCGTTTGAGCCAGAAGCCAAAAGTTTAATGCAACCAGCTTACCTGGTCGTAGATTCCACTGATTGGGAGTGGCAATCATTCTACGAACAATATATTACTGATGACATCCTGACTACCATTACTGATTGCACAAATAGGACCAACATATTGCATAAAGGAAAAACACTGGGACTAACAATAAAAGAACTAAAAGTTTTCCTTGGAATAACGATGGTTATGTCTGCCCTCCTATATCCCCAAATCAATATGTATTGGTCAGGAAAATACAGAGTGAACATTATTGCTTTAGCCATGACTCGAACCAGATTTTATGCTATCAGGACGCAATTAAAATGTGTATACGATGCTGATGTTACTCCGGAGCAGAAAGAGGAAAAAATCTGGAAAGTTAAACCATTATTTGATTGTATTTTGAATGGCTGCCATCAACAAGATCGTCCACAAGATATGTGCATCGATGAAATGATAATTCCTTTCACTGGGCGATGCCACATGCGACAATATTGTCCAAACAAGTCAAAACCAGTTGGCCTCAAAGTGTTTGTCCTTGCGTCACCACAAGGTATTGTATGTGATATGATAATTTATCAAGGAGACAAAACTTTTCCGGAGTTTAACTCTCAAGGGTTTCGATTGGGTGAATCAGCCGTCCTACATCTTACGCGAACTCTAGTCCCAGGGCATTCCCTATACTTTGATCGTTACTTAACCTCGGTGAAGTTGTGCGACGAATTAATCAAAAGAGGATTTCATGGAACTGGTACTATACAGAGAGGAAGAATCCCGAAAGATTGTAAGTTGACGCCAGAAAAATACAGAAATTCAAGAAACTGCCACGAGGTTCAAGTGAAGTGAAGGTGCGAGAAGACGGCCAACTTGCAATAACAATGTGGCTTGACAACAAGCCCGTGATGATGATGTCTTCTCTCTATAGCAATAAAAATGAAAATGACTGCGAGCGATGGTCAAAAAAGAAGAAAGGCTACGAAAGAGTGAAAAGGCCGGAAGTCATTAAAAAATACAATCAAAATATGGGAGGAGTTGACCTCGCTGATCGCATGCTGTCTGTGTGCCCCTCACGAAGCAGGACTATCAAATGGACTGTAAGAGTGATATCACATCTTTGATTTGGCGGTTTTCAATTCGTGGTTCCAATATCGAGTTAGAAAAAAACACAAACATGGCTCTTATATGGAAACTTCGAGATTATAAGCTTAACTTGGGTACCAAGCTGATTGAAGATAATGACACGGAGAGTGATAGCGAGCGTAATCCAGACCAACTGAAAGAGTTGGAACCAAAACATAAGAAGCGCAAAGTTATGATCAAACCAGTTCCATCCAAGCAAAGACGCCTTCAGAAAGCATCCCATATGCCTGATTATGGACCAAAGCAATCAAGATGCAGAAATAAATCTTGCGACAAAAAGACCACAGTCTTTTGCAAAAGATGTGAAGTGTACCTATGTTTCGTGCCTAACAGAAACTGCTTTGCAAGTTTTCATGAGATAGTTGAGGAATGATTTCTAATTTTGTTTAATTTTATTCTTGTTGATTTTTAGAAGCTTTGGTTTTTTTTCACTTAAGATCTCTTATTATGAGGCTGATTATTCAATTATTAAAATAAGGATAAACATTAAGTTGTTAACATTGATCTCTCAAATATAGTGTTAGTTGAAAACATATTAAGAGTAAGAATACTATTTTTTTATCTCCTTTTTAAGAGAGTAAATGAACAAGACGTTAAGTTTTTGAAAGATTTATTAAAAATTGTGCTTCAACATTTTTTTTACGTTTTATTTTTTAAATTCATACGCAATGTTACGAAAGTCTAGCTGGTTTAAATCAGATGTAATGCTTATGTCCTACTAGAAGTACATCTAAATTAGCTACAATTGTACTTTATAAAGAACATAAGGAAAAGCTAGATTTTCCGGACATGGATTTTTTTCACTATTTTTCCCTAAATACTTATGCTTTAAATAATAACCCATAGAAATTTCATGAAAATACTTAAACTTTAGGCTTCCTGGTCGTCAGGAGGATAGGACTATTTCAATTCTTTAAATAGTGTAGTTAGCGCCTGCGACAAATATAATTTACCAAGTGACGAACTTTATTTTAAGACTATTATAATTTCTCAATTAGTGTAATTAGCTTATAAACTCTTATTAGAATATAATTTAAATATAATTGCAAAATCGAAGGGTTAGCCTTTAATGATAATTTTGTAAGAAAGTTTTTAAGCAAGAATTTGTATTGTAAATACTTATAAAAAATTTAAGTTTTGTTTAACGCTCAAAAACTGATGTTAGATTAAATGTTTATACGTAACATAATGTAAACAAAAATAAATAAGTAGATTAGACATCTGTTTTAATAAATATAAGACAAAATGAATAGTAAATTAGCAATTTTGTAGGGTTTTTGTTCTATAAGTTTTGTATAGAGGACTTAATAGTTTTATATTATTATTTTATGTTATAAAACATAACCAGAGCAATCTAACAATATATAATTTGTAAGGGTTTTTTAAAAATTTTCAATAAATAAAGGCTCATAAGGTTTCGGCTCGAAGTAAAAACAACGCGCGAGATAGGGAAAACCGCGCTAACTCCCGTACGGTAACGCCGGCGGGTATATAAGCCGAGCAAATTTCGGCTCAAATCGCTTGCGCCCTCCTTTCTGCCAAGGAGGGTCGCGTTCGTATACGGCTTAGAGATCTCTAGTCAGATCGTTAAGCCATTTCCTTTTTTAGGAAACGCGGTGGTGTTTAGTGGGTAAAAGTCTCCACACAACCACGCAGCCGGCTGCGTGGTATGCTATGAGCATTCACCGCCTCCCTCCCCCGCTTTCCGGAGGGTTGCCCATATTTGCTTCGGGCGCAAAAAAAAAAAAGGCTCAAATCGCAGTCGCAGCACAGCCGTCGAAGAGGCAAAAACAAGGAAAAAGGAAGCCGAAACCTAAGGAACAATAAGCTACCTAGAAGAAAAGGGTTTTAATTGCCTCCTCCCGGCTGATCGTCTATCTCTCTCTCTCTCGGGGTCCTAGTAGGGTCATAGTATACATACGCATTCAGGGGTGCGTGGGACGTGCGTCACCAGCACTAGGCAAGGAACGTACGTCATAAAGTGGGAGATTGTCCCAGGGCGACTGCGGGCACTGGACGTGTCCCTCCCGTCCGAAACAATATCTGATTTCATCCCCATAATGGTATCATTGAGTTTGGATATATCTTGTTTTACGACGGTGTTTATGCTGTCATTGATTTGGGATATTTTGTCATCAAATTCAATTTTCATAGTGTCCATTTTGGATAATATAGACTCTGTGAATACCCTAAAAGCATCCGACACATCCTCATCGTATTTACGCTTACGAAGCGTTACTCCCATTTCGAGTAGGTCTGGATCACTATCGTAGCGTTTTGCTGGTGAGCAATACATGGCTGTGTAGTCTAAGCTCGTTATTACTCTGCGCAAGTGATCTCGATAACACTGTATGCGTAAGTAGGATGCGTAATGAAGTGGCACAGGTGTATGAATAAGACAACTCACTGGTAATGAGGCGGGATTCGGCAGCAAGTCTTGCGTATACCGAATACAATCTTGTTTTCGAGAAGTTAAGGTTTATATTTGAGTGATGTGTTACGAAAAAATATATTAAATGATTATTACAGTTTGTTCGCATCCGACTGACACGGACAGATACGACTGAATGAGTTTACCCATCTATTGAACAAAATTATTCAATAGACGGATAATCTTTTGCAATATTATAATTAAGTATAATAGAATATTTTAAATAGGACATGGTTGTGTGAGCGAACAATTTTAGCTACAAAATACAAAAATGATGCATCAAATTAATGAAAGGATACAGAATATGACACCAGATGAAAAACTGTATAAATCAATAGACACAATGATGAGTCAAGACGAAAGTGTGAACTTCCCAACAGTTCTTAAATTTACCGAATCCGCTTGGTATGCCTTTGAATGTATTGAAGCTAAAAATTGGATCACCAGTCATATTATTATGAAAATTTAATACGTGAAAATTATGTAACGGTACAAGATTATTTATAAAACAACTTCTCAATGACATTATTGAGGCAGTAATTCTAACTGGCAAAGAAAAAGGAAAATCCGTTTTTATACCACGAATTCAATTAATTTCAAATGATTTACCATTATGTTTAAAACGGTTACGGTTTCCTCTACGATTGGCTTACGGTATAACTATCAATAAGGCATAAGGTCAAACGTTCCAATATAGTGGAGTGAATTTGGGAGAATCCCGTTTTTCACGTGGTCAAATTAATGTACCTTTTCGCGCGTTTGACCGATTTTTTTTATTAATGTCTGCACCAGAAAGTTAGTAAATGTGGTCCATAAGAATGTATTGTAACATAGAAGTTCAGTACATGACTATCTGTAAAATATTTTTGTATAATGAATAAAACATATGTAAGAAAAAAACTTAAAAATTAACAAGAAAAGTCATGTGTTCTTAATTTAAAAAAAATAACTAATTTAATAAAATATACATACAATACATAAATAAATATTCGACAAAAACTAACCCAGCGAAGTGGGTTTACACAGCTATTATACGTATTTTACCAGATACTTCACGAAGAAGATTTTGCTGCAGTGTGTATATTCAAATGCCTTCGCAAATGACTTTTTGTAATAGATTTATATTCGCAGATATTACACGAAAAAAGGTTTTTCTCCGGTATGTATTTTTACGTGTCTTGTCAAATTACTTTTACTAATACATCTATATCCACATATATTACACGAAAATGGTTTCTCTCCGGTATGTATTTTCATAATATGTGTTTGCAAAGCACCCTTGGTAATACATCTATATTCACAGATATTACACGAGAAAGGTTTTTCACCGGTGTGTATTTTCATATGTATTTGCAAACTACTTTTTCTTATACAACTATAATTACAGATGTTACACGAAAAAAGTTTTTCCCGATGTGTATTTTTATGTGTCCTATCAAATAACTTTTACTAATACATCTATATCCACATATATTACACGAAAATGGTTTCTCTTCGGTGTGTATTTTCATATGCCTTAGCAACTTACTTTTTCAATAAATCTATGTTCACAGATATCACATGAAAAACGTTTTTCACCAGTGTGTATTTTCATATGTATTTGCAAATTACTCTTTGTAATGCATCTAAATTCACAGATACTACACGAAAAAGGTTTTTCACCGGTGTGTATTTTCATATGCCTTAGCAACTTACTTTTTCAATAAATCTATGTTCACAGATATCACATGAAAAACGTTTTTCACCAGTGTGTATTTTCATATGTATTTGCAAATTACTCTTTGTAATTCATCTAAATTCACAGATATTACACGAAAAAGGTTTTTCACCGGTGTGTATTTTCATATGCCTTAGCAACGTACTTTTTTCAATAAATCTATGTTCACAGATATCACATGAAAAACGTTTTTCACCAGTGTGTATTTTCATATGTGTTTGCAAATAACTCTTTCTAATGCATCTAAATTCACAGATATTACACGAAAAAGGTTTTTCACCGGTGTGTTTTTTCATATGTGTTTTCAAATTACTTTTTGTAACAGATTTATATTCACAGATATTACATGAAAAAGGTTTTTCACCAGTGTGTATTTTCATATGTGTTTGCAAATGCCTCTTTGTAATACATCTAAATTTACAGATATTACACGAAAAGGGTTTTTCACCGGTGTGTATTTTTATATGTTTTTGCAAATTACTTTTGTTATACATCTATATTCACAGATATTACATGAAAAAGGTTTTTCACCGTGTGTATTTTGTTTTTGCAAAACTTTTGTTATACCTTATTACACAAAAAAGGTTTTTCACCGGTGTGTGTTTTCATATGTTTTGACAAATCACTTTTTCTAATAGATCTATATTTACAGATATTACACGAAAAAGGTTTTTTACCGGTATATATTTTCATGTGTTTTTGCAAATGACCCTTTGTAATGCATCTAAATTCACAGATATTACACGAAAAAAGGTTTTTCTCCGGTGTGTACTTTCATATGCTTTTGAAAATTTCCTTTATGTATACATTTATAATCATAAATATTACAACAGTACACTTGCTTAGCGACGTGCGCTTTAAAATGTGCTGAAATGCGACGTTTTTGAGATGTTTTAAATTCGCAAATATCGCAGTTATATATATCCATTAGTTGTTGTACTGGAGTTTGTTCAACTTGTGTCGGAAGTGTATCTGAGTTCTTTTGCGTCTTATGACTGTATGATATGTGGTCGGTGAGAATATCTTTTGTTAAAAACTTTTTTCTACAGTCCTTACATTCAAAATTGTATTTTATTGATGCCTCAGATGTGTTTTCCGTAAGTATATTTACACTCTGTTTCAAAATTTTCTTTTTTCATAATTTTTGCAGGATGCTTCCCTTTTTTTAATAACTGGTCGAGTGTCTCTTTTCAGTTTAGGCTTTAATTTAATAGTAGGGCTTTCT